GCCATTTGGGTTAGTAGTCATTCCATAGATATCCGCAGAAACCATGTATATATTGCCACAGGAAACTTGTACTCAACACCTTCGCATGTAAGGGAATGCCAAGAAATAGAGAATAATCGAACACAACCCTCACATCCAGATAAATACATTGAGCCAGAGAACCATTTAAATTCAATCCTGGCCTTTGGTTTAGACACTGGCACAATCAAGTGGTTCCGTCAATTGGGAGGCTATGATGTATGGTTTTTTCACTTCTAACAATCTTTCAACTCCCAATTGCCCTCCTGGACCTAACCCAGATGCAGATTTCGGAGAGGCACCAATGATGTTGAGCATCCATGTCAATGGAACTAACAAAGATGTAGTCACTGTCGTTCAAAAAAGTGGCTTCACTTGGGCTTTAGATCGTGATAATGGCACCTTCTTTTGGTCTACTGTGAGTTAATTTTAGAGTAATTTTTTTTTATAATTAATAAATATACATTAATAATAATATAATTTTTTAACCAAAACAAATAGATATAGGAAGCTGGCCTGGGAGGTCTTATGGGAGGGGGAACCTGGGGAGCCGCAACCGATGCAGAGAGAGTATATACCAACATTGCTAATTCTAATGGCAAGATTTTCACTCTAAAGTCATCCAAAGAAGTCTCAACGACTGGCGGATGGGTGGCTATGGATGCTGGCAGTGGAAAAATAATATGGTCAGTTGCTGATCCTGCCAATGCAACTGCTAATGGCCCTGTGATTGTGGCAAATGGTGTGTTATTTGGTGGTTCAACTTATAAAGATGGACATTTATATGCAATGGATGCTAAAACTGGGAAGATTTTATGGTAATATAAAAGTGATGGGTGTGTTTATATTGGAGATGGGTATAAGGTTAACCTCGGCTCCTTCGTTCCATCATTTAATTCTGGTACCTCACTTTATGCCTTTGGTGTATCTTGAGTTATTTTATTGGGCTTAAGTTAAATATTTATTAGTTTGCTGGATAATTAGTTCTCATGTAAAATGGTATGTTTAAATTAGATTGTGCATCAGATATATGTATTTAATAAATAAAAAAATAATAATTATTTTTAACGTGTAAGTGTTGTATAATTATCAAAATATATAAATTTTTATTTAAAAAATTATTTGTATAATTTATTTGAATGCCTATGAACATAAAAGAATAATTATTTTAATTAAAAATTAATATCCATTGATAACATTTATAGATGCTTTGGTAAAAGGTTATGGCATATCTATTGATGCTTTCTTATCACAATATATTTTGGTAAATGCTAGCAAAATTTTTGTTCCACCATTAAATAAAATTATACCAGAAACTAATCCCCAATTACTATTTAAAAAAGGGAATATACGTATTTAATCTCTAAAACATAACCAATTTAAAATTTAATCATAAATATTTAATTCATTTATTCTCAAATTTTTAAAATTTTTTCTAAAGTTCTACACTTATTTTGAATGAAAAAATCATACATGGCTAATGACTTATTTGAAGAACAAAACTATTTTTTAATTATTTTTGTATTGATCATTTTCATGTTTCTTCCTTTATTTTAACCAATCTTCCTCATCAATTCAATCTTTATCAACTCCAACCTTTAAATTGTATTATCTAGAAAAAAAAAAAAATGAATAAAATCAATACAAATTTCATCTCAACATTTTCTTTGTGAGAAGAAATTGCAAGAAAATTTCCAGTCTATTCTTTTTGAATTGTAAGAGAACCTCCTGCCCTTTTCTTAATCATGAGCTGCAATAATCTGTAAAGAAAATGTAGAACAATGGAAAGAAAACTCGAGAATACCTAAGCAATATTTCGACACGAACAATAGCTGGAGAGAAACTTTAAAGTTATGAAGGTTATATTACAGAGAGTTCAAGAGTTAAAAGGAGGTATTTATACCTCCCATTGAAATAATGGTGTACCTACACAACTTATAAGTCTCAGCAACACCCATTTTAACATAATACACCTATATTTCTATATATATACACATACACACACATATCATAGATGTCATTTACTGTGACATGCAACCACTTTTTTCATTGCCCACGGGCTCAAACAATTGGGCTGTGTGTTTTTTAGTCCTAACATCTCCCTTAAAGATGGAGAGTAAATATTTTCTGCTCCTACTTGATCATATACTGGTTAAGCAATGCACTCCATAGCTTTAGTAGCTATATCACTAAACTGTTGCTTACTTTCATATGTCTTGTGATAATGCTTCCATCTCGAATCTTTTTCTACATCAAATAATAATCAAAGTCAGTATGCTTTGTTCTTCCATGAAGTATAGGGTTAACTGTTATATACATTGCAACCTTATTATCATAATATAATACAACAATTTTTGGATTGTCAATCCCAAAAATAGTTAATAGATGTTTTATCCATGTCAGTTTGTAACGCATACTTTCCATTACTCTGCATTTTACTTTAAAGGTGAAGATAAAGAAATAGTTTGTTATTTTTTAGATTTTTAAGAGATTAAAGAAGTACCAAGCAAAATGTATATTTTTTTACTAACTTCCAAATGTCTAAACATCTTTATTAATGACTATTACTATAGGTATTCAATCTCTATCCAAAAGTACCTTTATGTATCTTAAGACCTTGTGGTAGCATTCAAATGTTTGTGTCTAGATTGATCTATGAACTAACTCAAAAGTTACGCAGTGTAGGTTATGTCTGGTATCATTATAGTCCAATACATGAGTTTCCTGGTTAGTTTTTGTACATGGTTAGATCAATGATAGGCTCACCACCATATGTTAACAACTTAATGTTTTGATCTAATGGCACCTTTGAGATTTTTCCTCCTAATGTGCTAGTGTCTTTCAACAAGTCAAGATCATATTTTCTCTAATAGACGTAGACTCCCCCATTTTGATCGATCCATTTCAATAATCAAAAAGTACTTTAGTTTTTCTAGGTCTTTGATTTTGAATTCTTTATTCATCATCTTTTTCAATTTATCAATTAAATTATTGATGTTTTCAGCTATAATTATGTCATCTGTGTATACTAATACTGTAGTAAAGTCACCTCCATCTTTTTCAACAAAGAGACTATAATCAGTCTTGGATTGGGTGAATCCTTACCCGATAATAAAGTATGAGAGTTTGGCATATCAGTGTCTTGATGATTATGTAAGACCATATATTCTCTTCAATAACCAGCACACTTTTTGTTTATTCCCACTTAGATACCCTAACGGTAGCTCTATGTAAACTTTCTCATTCAGATCACTATTGAAAAATGTATTATTAAAAAAGTTGACTTTTTCTGAATATGTAAAAATAGGTTGCTTCATTACCATGTAATGGAAAAAGCTCTAAGAATAATAGGAAAGCCTAGACATGTATATGTTATCTTATTATTAGAAGTTAGTTTTTCCTAATTTTATCTTCAGGATTTGCTAAGATACGACTCTAATCATGCTATTATTCTCCTTAATAGTGTTAAAAGACCTATTATGAATAGAAAAAAGATAAACTGTTTCGTTTTGAAACGATTTAATTGAGAGAATTTTCTTGTCATAATTTAGTAGCATCTAAGTAGGTATATAGTAATGTTGATTTAATAGATAAAATTTGTCATGTTAATGGCTTTTAAAACCATGAAATACGGAGGTTATGAGCAACATGAGAATAAAATGGTAGTTACAGGCCGAAATACACATGTTAATAGATATTAAGGCTATTGAGGATAACAGAAAAAAATAAAGAGAGACAGAAAGAAATTTAAATGAGTGATATATAAAAGAAGAAATTTTACGGGCACAAAAATCTAAAACTAATAAGTTAAAATCGAGATATAGAAATATTATCTCTAATAAAGCGGTATTATTTGTTGGTATGAGAAGAATCCCAATTCCTCTCTCCATTGATTTGAGGAAGTGCAGGCTATATTTTTTCGAACTACAAATAGTGAAAAAGTGGGGTTTGAATTCCATCCAAGTGGAAGGTGATGTTGAAGGAATTCATCATTTGCTCTGAATTCCTAGAAATTTAATATTGGGATGTACTTAGTATTTGATATTATGTCCATTGTTTGTTTATTTTCTTACATTTCTTTTTTAAAGATTCCTAAAGATATTAATGTGGTTGCCCGTAAATTAGTTAAAATGGTGCTTTATAACTTTGATGGGAACTTGATAATTTTGGAACTCCCTATTTATCGGATTTCTCTTTTGCTATACGATATGTTTCATCATATTATATTCAATTCATCATTTCACCTCAAAAAGAAAAAAGTGACCATTAACTTTTTATTAAGAGCGTTACGTCTTTTAAAATAAATATTTTTAACTAACAATTTTTTTTATAATTAAAACATCACTTTGTAACATATTTATAATATATCATAAATAAACGTATGCCTATTAATTTTAGTTATGTTTTATTATTATTTATTACATTTTAATTATCACTTATTATTACATGCTTTTATGATTTTTTTGTAATAATTTATAAATAAGTTAATAACAAAATATAATAAAAATTATAATGTGTATATATAAAAAAACGTAAGGTATTGTGTAAAACCTATTTCTTCTTTTGTTCTTTCTTTTTGGGAAGTGAAGCTATTTTTGATATCTCTTTAACAAAATTTTATATTGTGATCCTAATTGTACAATAGCGGTATTTTACCGTTTTAATTTAGACCTAAATTTAAGTAAAAAAAAAATCTTATTTAAATAAAATTTAAGTCCCAAATCAGTTAAGAATTTTCTGTTTATAATTTGAGCCAACACTAATTTTGGTAAATAATTGAAAAATGCGCGTGGGAAGACCCGATTTGATATATAGATAGAGATGAGAGAAGTAAAAATCTAATCCATAATTACTCATAACTCCCTTTAAAAATAGACTTTTACCTAAAAGGATGAAAAGAAGATAAACTATGACACCCCAACTTATCTGTATTTCATTTTCAGACCCATCAGAATCGCTATATATTTCATCTATACCCTCACTCCCCCAAACATATCTTCTTCCCTCTTCACTTCTTTTGAAAAGCAAGAAAAAATGGCAAAAATTCCTCTCATCTTCTTCCTCTTCCTAGTTACTTTCTCTGTTAATCATTCTTTATCCCAAGCATCAGCTGAAAATATTCATAAGCACCAGCATCGTCTTGGCGTGTACGAGCTCAACAGAGGCAACATCTCAGCCAAGTTCACTAACTGGGGTGCAACTCTCATCTCTCTTGTTCTTCCTGACAAACACGGTTGGTTTTTCGAATTTGGATTTTGTTCTTTTAGGTGGGTCTTTCTCTTTTATCTGATTTTTATTGACTTTGTTTTGAGTTTCAGGAAATCTTGGCGATGTCGTTCTTGGGTATGATCACATCAAGGATTACATGGTATGTAATTGTTTCTTTCCCCAATTAGCGATTTGCAAGAGCGAGAATTTGTAGGTCAATTATTCTTCTCTATTGTCCAATTCAAGTGATTTTTTGCTCTGTCAATGACTTATCTTGCTCTCTCGCAATATCGCCGTGATTTACTCTTTCTTTCAAACATCTTGTTCTTTTGATTTCGCTATTTTTCATGAAAGATTTATTCACATTTCTCCCTGTGTTACTCTCGTTTTCTTGCCCGCACAATGGAATGGGTTGTAGCTAGTACTAAGGTAGGAAAATAATTTGACAGCTACCTTTGCACTATAATTTGACTTGCGAGATCTAATTTGTCGCGAAGATAGACTTTGGGTTTATCAGCTCTGATTTTGTTTTCTTCTTGTTGTTTTTATTATATTATGTTATATGTATATATATATTTTTATTATTGTTGTTGGTTTCCATCTTATAAGCTTCCATCTAACGAGATCGGAAAGCATAATTTTATACCCACATTTCGCTGTTAGAGGAGAAGTATTCTTTCAACGCGGGTCATTTTCTACGTACTAGAGTGTTTTGCAAAGGCACATTAACCAAGTGGGAAAAAGAAATCAGAGTTTATCTTAGATCTGTACTGAGGTTTAGACAATATGGGGATTTTAGGAAGGTGGTTTTAATTTATAAAAGTACAGGGGAACTTCAATTATTCAGCCATGGATAATAGGACAAGTTGACAAGGTATCAACAATTAAACAAAATAATATGAAAGTTTTCAAAGACTTGTGCTGTGTGATTAATATTTTATTTCTTATTGTTAAGACTAGTCAACCCTTTTCGTTGAAATTTGTCTTTATTCAATGAAGCATGTGGTTGTAGTATTAAATTTTCCTGATAAATCCATGGAAAACTGTAGGTTCTTGCTGAACTTCTTTCTTCATCCAATGACTTATGGAATATAATTTTGTAATTGACTGGCTTTTTTGTTTTTTCTTCCGTTTTTGCTCAAAGTTTCAACAAATAATAGAAGTATAATATGTTTTGACTCAAGGGAAAATGGGGTCCCCCTGTTTCCTGCATAGACTTTTCTTATTTGTTTTTCTTGGAAATGTCTTACGCAATTGAATACTAATGGTTCTCATAAGCTATTGCTCTTTCCAACAAAAAAAGCCCATTCATATTCCTCTTTGTGCAGAATGATACAGTATACTTTGGTGCAATTGTTGGACGGGTTGCTAATAGAATCGGGAACGCTCAATTTAAATTGAATGGAGTCGTTTATAAAACAGTTGCTAATGAAGGCCATAACACACTTCATGGTAGATATGATCCTCTTTGAACCTTGAGAAAAGGAAGAAAAAAAAAAGACAAATTACTAGCTTGCTTTTTGTTTATCAATTTTGATGAGTTTTTTTGTTTGTATGTAATTAACTTTGTGTATGATTATTATCAGGTGGCAAAAAGGGATTTAGTGATGTTGTTTGGAAAGTGATAAGACATAAGAATAAAGGTGATACACCGTACATCGTCTTTGGGTATAGAAGTGCAGATGGTGAACAAGGTCAGTTGGCTTCCGACATTGATTTTCTCGTCCTGTTATTTTTTGCACCTTGACACAATCACTTACCTAAGAAGAAAAGTTTGAATTCAGATGTGATTGAAGCTAAAAAGAATTAGTCTTTTAACTGTTGCAGCAAACATATTGTACTATGTGATTTGCAACTGAAATCATTAAAATTTTGTATGGTTTTGATAGGATTTCCTGGACGTCTCTCTGTCACTGTAACCTATGCTCTTACCAGACACAACCAATTGGGTGTAGTAATGAAAGCTAGGCCGAAGAAGAAAGCTACACCTGTGAATCTAGCCCAGCACGCTTACTGGAACCTTGGTGGACACAACAATGGTGATATCCTTTCTGAAGAAGTACAGATCTTTGGTTCCAAGTACACACCCGTTGATGGCAAGCTTATTCCCACCGGTCAAGTTTTACCAGTGAAAGGAACAGCTTTCGATTTCCGCAAGCCCCACACAATCAAGAGCACCATTGGTCAGCTTCCTAAAGGCTATGACATCAACTATGCTATTGATGGTCCGATGAACGAGATGAGGAAAGTAGCAATAGTCACTGATAGGAAGTCAGGAAGAAAGATGGAGCTGTTTGCGAATCAACCCGGTTTGCAGTTCTACACTGGTAACTATCTGAAGAATGTGAAAGGTAAAAATGGAGCTGTTTACCAAGCACATGCAGGATTGTGCTTGGAGACTCAAGGGTATCCAGACTCAGTGAATCAAGCCAAGTTCCCTTCACAGATTGTGAATCCTGGGCATACTTACAGGCACTTGATGGTGTACAAGTTTTCAGTTGTTTCATAAATCATTCAAACTTTTCACATGTTAATTCAGGTGGATATATATCAGTCAAGAGGCCAACAATTTGTTTCTCTTAGGCCTTTACTGTATCCTGTAGCTGTGAAGAGCCATTAATGGCTTTCATTCACTTTTGGTTTGTTGCCGTCTGTAATAACACATGCCCATTGATCTACAAGGTGTTACCTTTTTATTTATTTTTAATTATTATTATTATTGTTTTAGTTTTTGCGCCTACTTAAATGGGAGGGAACTTTCTTTTAGAGAATGGTGGGAGGAAAGTAAAAGAAAATGAGGTTCAGATTCCACTCACAAAAGGATAAGATATGAGAGAATTTGTTAGGTTATATTTGGAATAATATTATAGTAGTTATTTAATAATTTACAATTATGATAATAAATTTAATTTGATTTAATAATTTTGTAATGTAATTGAATTTACTTTGGTAATTAAAATGTTTTACTTGTAATTGATGGCTGTAACATTATAGCATTACAAATTTGATTATATCCTTATATAATTAATTTTAGTTCAAAAAAAGTTTTTACGCTACATAACTTATTAAAGAGAAACCAAACATACTATAAGTTCAACTTAATTTTGTGAATTTTATTAGAATAATAAAAAATTGAATATATATAAGATTGAAATATACATTTTATATTCTATTAATTCTGATGTATTGTTAAATTTATTATCAAAATTTTGTACAAAATTCTATATAAATTTAATTTTTTATTTACATAATATTTTTATGATGTTCTAATTGAATGATTTATATATGTTTATTATTTATTAATTTGTACTACAAAAATACTATTTATTCATACCTTGACTTACAATGACTGAAATCAAATTTTATTACAACCGAGGATGACTTATTCATATCTTGAATAGCTGGATTTTATTACAAACTGTTTATTTATATCTTGACTTACAATGACTCCATTTTATTACAACAGTATTTTATTTAAATAAAACTGATTACATAATATTCACGTCAAACATGTTAAAAAATACATTAAATAATTTTTCTGCTACAATCGTAAATTGTTATTTTTGTGAAGCCACCTAAAATTATTTTCAGAGTTTGAAAAACTTTTTGTCCTTTAATTAAAAAATATATATATCTATATATATGGACTCATACAGTCAATGAACTCCAAGACAAAAATGGAAGCTGTGTCCTCTGCAAATTTTGCGCTTTACCAATTAGAAAACAAATTCCATTTACCTCAATTTCATAAGCTCTTATTCATCCAGACCCAGTTATCTCGTCCCAGCTTTCTATTTTTTAACATCTTCAACCTTATATATACATATATATATACACTTCCAAGAAGGCCAACAGAACAATATCACTGGCCATATATACATATACACCTATATATGTAACATTTGTTTGAAAAAAAAAAAAAAAGGAAAAGCAAAAAAAGAAATAAATGATGGCAAGAACTTCCTTCTTGTTGTGTTTGATCCTCCTAATTGCTTTAGCTAAAGCAGCAGAAGAATCAGAGGTTACAACAAGAGATGCCCTTACCGATGACATGGATATCACCATGATGAGCTCTCGACAAAACAAGAGGCCGGTGCAGCAGCAAGTGACGAACACTCAACACCATGAAGATGAAGATGAAGAAGCAGATGAAGAGAAGGTGACGAGCAGTAAAAACAATGAAGAGAAGAAGAAAGAAAAGAAGGAGAAGAAATCAGATCATCAAGAGATTTATGAGCTCAAGAATGGAGACTTATCTGTCAAATTCACAAACTGGGGTGCTACTATTATGTCTCTTACCCTCCCTGATAAACATGGTGGGTTGTCTATTTTTTCCCATTTTTATTTTTATCAGTGGGTTTTTTTTTTTTCAAAATAAATCATTAAATTATTTTTTAAAATTTATTATTTATTATAATTTAGTTCCTAATATTTTTTTATTATAACTTGATTTTTAATATTTCAAAGAAATGATTTTGACTAGAAAATAACAATATTAAACATTTTTCTCATTGTTACTAATTTATTAATTTAATAATTTTTTTATCTATTTTTAAAGTATTCAAATGTCACATAATTATTAATTTTTTTCTGTTAAAACAAAGAGTCTAAAACAAAAAACAAAAAAAAAAATTACGAATCAAATTACAACAAATACTGAACTTCCGGATTAATTTGATAATTTTCCTACTTTTAAATTTTATTTTTGTTAAACATTATTCTTGAATATATCAGGAAAGCTGGGCGACGTTGTTCTTGGGTATGATAAGGTGAAGAATTACAAGGTGAGAAAGTTATTTTTCTTCAAGAGGCATTTTCTAGAAGAGGAAATTTTATTTTTGGGTAGTAATTAAGATAAAAATCTATACCATTTTGCAGAAAGACACTGTCTACTTTGGCTCCATTGTTGGACGAGTTGCTAACAGAATAGGAAAGTCTCAATTTAAAGTGAACGGAAAACAATACAAAACCAACGCTAATGAAGGAGCTAACACACTTCATGGTATATTACAAACAGCTTTTCTTCATATATTAACTTGAGTAAGTTTTCTTTTAGGTATTAATTAATGTTTTTTTATAAACTCCAGGTGGCAAAAAGGGTTTTAGTGATGTTCTTTGGACAGTTCAAGCACATCAAAATGAAAGCCTTCCTCACATTGTGTTTGCCTACAACAGTACCGATAATGAACAAGGTGAAATCAACTTCTCTTGTATTTTGTATTTTGAATTGGGTCTATTTATATACATATATATCTTCTGCTTTATAATCGACCCTTTTGCTACTTATAGGATTCCCTGGTGATCTACAAGTAATAGTGAACTATACTCTTATTGAGAAAAACCAGTTGAGCGTAGTTATAAGGGCCAAAGCCTTGAATAAGGCTACACCAGTGAACCTAGCACAACACTCTTATTGGAACCTTGGCGGACACGATAGTGGCAATATCTTGTCTGAAGAAGTGCAGATCTTCGCATCTAAGTACACTCCTGTTGACAGCAAGCTGATTCCCACTGGAGAAATTGTCACCGTGAAAGGAACTCCTTTTGATTTCTTGAAACCACACACCATTGGAAGCACCATAAATAAACTTCCAAAAGGGTATGATATTAACTATGCACTAGATGGTCCCAACAATGGTATGAAGAAAGCAGCCATAGTTATAGACAAGAGATCAGGAAGAAAGATGGAGCTTCTGACAAACCAACCTGGTGTGCAATTCTACACAGGTAACATGTTGAATAATGTGAAAGGAAAAGGTGGAGTTGTGTACAATGCACATGCTGGTTTGTGCCTAGAAACTCAAGGCTATCCAGACTCTGTTAATCACCCCAAATTTCCCTCACAGATTGTTAACTCTGGGCAGACTTACGAGCACTTGATGTTGTACAAGTTTTCTGTTGTCTCATAAATCATTTTAGGACTATCACATGAAAATGGAAATTAGGATATTTTACTATTTAGAAGGCCATGAAATTATATCTGGCACCTCTTGAAAGAGTTCATGTATTTGATAGAAGCTATTTGATCATAAATGATCTTATCAACAACTTTGTTTTATATCTCTTTGGACCATCATGTGCGAATTTGCGTGTGTTATATATCTATTTTCTTTGATTTTTTTCTTTTGTAAATTTAAATGTCTCTTTCTCTATAAATAGTGGTAACATAATGACACAAATTGAACATTTTTTATTGTAAAAATTGATAGGGTATCAGCACGGATGCTCCTCTGTTATATCTTAAATCAACCATATCCTCTTAAACTATGTCCTTCATTCTTTTCCCATTAAATTTATCCTTACTAATTATCTTTTATGGAAGAAAAATTTTTTCACTACACTCAACTACCAAAATTTTTTAGGTTAAGTTGAAGCTTTTTACCCCATTCCTAAATTAGTCATTAACTCTAATAACTCACCCATATTGAATCCTGAATACATCATTTGGTTCCAGAAAGATCAAATACTCATGGCTTGGTTACTATCTTCTTTGTTAAAAATGAGTCTTATACATATTGGTATTAAAACATCCTGTTTATGTACCTTGAATATTTGTAATATTTATCCATATTTTGAGGATAATTTATTTGAATTTTCTTTATATTTATCTTGATAAATATTTCATGTATATTTTAGAGAGTTTTTATTTGTGAAAAACTCTACTAGTCTCTCTATAAATAAGTTTACTAATATATTGGTGATGTATTCTCAGATTATATAGTAGAATTCTTTCTTGTTAGTCTTGCCCATG